GAGCAGGGAGCCCGATGCGGGACTCGATCCAGGGACTCCAGGATCATGACCTGAGCCGAAGGCAGTCGCTTAACCAACTGAGCCACCCAGGCGCCCGAGACATTTTAACAATATTTGTTCTTCCAACCCATGCGCTTGGAATGTCTTTCCATATTTTTGTGTCATCTTCAATATTTTTCATCAGTGTTTTATAGTTTTCAGAGGACAGATATTTTTCCCTCTTTGGTCAGGTTTATTCTTGGTGCTATTGTAAATGGGATTGTTTCCTTGATTTCTTGTTCTGCTGCTTCATTATTGGTGTATTGGAATGCAATGGATTTTTGTACGTTGATTTTGGATCCTGTGACATTACTGAGTTCATAGATCGGTTCTAGCAGTTTCTTGGTGGAGTCTTTCAGGTTTTCTATATAGGGTATCATGTCATCTGCAAATAATGAAAGTTTTAGTCCTTCCTTAACAATCTGGATGCCTTTTATTTCTTTTTGTTGTCTGATTGTGGTAGCTAGAATATTTTTTTCATGATAAAAATATATACTCTCCTAAACTTAAAACCACCCAGGGTTGAGCGAATGAGTGGGGTGGACAGCGAGAGCCCTGTGCCTGTGGGCTTTCGCCACCAGGGCAGCATAAGGGGGTGGGGGAGGGCTGCCGCCCAACGTCCTGCAGGGCCTGGGGCCAGCCCCACAGCACAGAACAGTGGCCTCACATGTCAATAGTCCCAAGCTGAGAACCCCTGACCTGAAATGCTCTAGAGCGGAATCTATTTTGAAGAGTGGAAACTCGGCCCTCAGCGGTAATCTTGGCACACCGCGTGTTGGGGAAGGGTGGGTGCTTGATTCTCGGCACGGGAACGAGTGTAGTTGGAGGAGACCACATCAAGATGTCCTGAAGCAGGGCCGGTGGCAAGGACTCTGGTGGGTGCGTGTGGATGGCTGGGAAGGGTGAGCGGGCCCTACTGTAGAGTCCAGAATCCAGGTCAAAAGAGGCCGACACTGGTGATTTGCCCTCAGGTGGATTATGAGGCAACAGAGCCCATGTTCAAGGCCACCTTGGAGGACATGGCCCTGGAGCAAGCTGTCGGACTTCTCCAGAGGGTCAACGGCTTCTGCTGCCTGTCTGTGAAGGTCAACATGGAGGGTACACACTCCCGCACCCCGCCCACCCTGTGAGGCCACCACCTGAGACCTGAGCCCCTGGCTGTGCGAGGCCCACCCTCTCACGCACCCCGGAACCAGATTGTGCCCTAAGTGTGCAGAGGGCTGTGGGGCAGCTGGGGGTCTCCTTCCTGCCCATTGGCTCCAGCACCAGAATGGCTCCCAAGACTCCGGGGGAGGTTCCTTCCTTCTCTCTGGCTTTCACATTCCAGAACCTTCCCCGAGTGGGGTCATGGCCCCGGGCTTATCTTTGATCAGGTTATAAGAAGTTGGTCCAGGACCTGGAGGCCAAAGTGGCTACCTCAGGGGATTCCTTCTACATCCGGGTGAACCTGGCCGTGGAGGCACGGGCAGAGGGGGAGCTGCGGGTGTGATGCAGTGACATTCTGCACGTCAGCGACACCATGTTCCAGGGTCGCAGCTGCTGGCATGCCCACCGCGTGGGCCCCTACAGTACGAAGGGCGTCGAGCACGGCACCATCCCCAACTACGCCCGGTGAGCAGCGGAAGCACACTCCAACACCACCCCAGGTTGGGCTGGGGGCGCGGCCGGGGGCCTGGCTGGCTTCCTGTGGACGACCCCTCCTGCCCAAGAGGAGAGGGTGGGCATGATGAGACACCCCAAAGTAGAATCCCCAGTGTGCCACCTGCAATGTCATCACTGAGATGGGGTTTCTTTGTGGAAAGGGATGACCCTTGGTCCTAGACCATTCTAGAGCATTCAAGACCAGCGTGACATTTGGGGCTGGCTCACTCGGTCACGGGGAGCCGTCCTGGGCACTGCAGGACGGTGAGCGGCATCCATCCACTGGACACCAGGAGTCCCTCTGCCCCCAAGACAATTAAAATGTCTCCAGACATTGCCCAGTGTCTCCTGCGGGTTGGGTGACCACCATCCTGGTGTGTCCAGGACTATTTTGGTTAAAGCCGGGAAAGTCCCCTGTCCTGGGGAACCCCTCAGTCCTGGGCCACCTGGGACAGTGGGCCGCCCTCCTTGGGAGCAGCATCAGCCCTGCTGAGAACCGTGTTCTAGATCAACCGGAGTGCACAAAGCAGGGCGTCTTGCCCCGAAGCCTCATCGCTCTCAGTGACACCAGGCTGGCTGTCGAGGTTCTAGAGCGTGGCCCAGACCCAGGCTCCCACGGAGTCACCTGGGTCCCAACTCAGAACAATTCCATTGGCAGCTGCAGGGGACAGGCTGAGGCTTTGCAGTTTTCCAAAAGCCCCAGGGGACTGTAATGCACCCCCCCCCCAAGGGTGGGGCCGCAGGGGTGGGTTCGGGGGTGCTGGGCAGGGGCCTGCTTCTTCTTCAAGTCCTCCTTGCCCCTGGGTCAGGGCCGGTCTCCTTTGCACAGAGCTCAGCAGCTGCTCATCGCCCTCATCCAGGACATGGCTCAGCAAAGCACCATCGCCCGCAAGGTGAGGTGGTGAGACCTGCCAACCCGGATCCTGGACACAGGGCCCTGCTGCGGTGGGTCCTGCCTCTCTATCCTGGCCTTCCTCCTCCTGGCTCACATCATCTGGGGTGGGTCCCGCCTGGAGGGTCCTGGCCCCATCTGGGGTGGGTTAGAAGAGGGGCAGGTGCTGGCCTGGGGGCCCAGGGACAGGGCCCATAGGCTGCTGACCCCATGGGTGTGACCTGGCGTGTGTCTCCCCGGTGGTCCCTCTAGGCCTTCACCTGGGCCTGCACACCACACCCAGCCTGCAGGCTCCTCTGTGTGCGCAGACACATCACATAGGCTGTCTCTGTCACCCTCCCAGGTCATCTCGTTTGCCTGTCCATCTGCACCCCATCCTAGAACCTCTGATGTCCCGACATAGAACATCCAGCTGTCCCCCAGCAGGATGTTAGGGCAGCTTCCCTGGATTGGGGCAGGGCTAGGCTGTGGGGGCCCCTAGTCTTCCCTCCTGCTTTTTGCAGCCTGCCCTCACTTTGGACGCCACACTCAGGGGTGCCCTGCTTGGGGGCTCTGCCTGAGGACCCTGTCCTGCCTCCCTTCGGCTCCCACCCTCTGGCATGGAGCCTGAGCCTCCTGGCTGTTCAGTGGGCACAGCCTGGTGGCCCAGGGACCAGCTTGGATTTTGCAGTGGGCTAGGGTCCTGTCGGCTTGGACACCTGCTCGTCCCTCTTCCCTCCTCCAGCAGTCTTCCGGGGGACCCCAGAAGCTGGTCCGCATCGTCAGCGTGGACAGAACCAAGGCCAGCCCTCTGCGCTCATCCTTCGATGGGGCCCTGTGGGAGCCCAGCAAGCTGGAAGGTGAGGCGGGTAGCACAGGCCGAGGGGGCCCTTGATCGCCACTGTGTGACGTGTGTGGGTGTGAGGTCATGACAGAGGTCAGCGTGGCACACACCCCTATCAGGTCAAACCCTGCAATGAAGACAGTGGGAGTGGATTGAGAGTGAGGTGAATTGTTTTGAATTAATTTTCTTCTTTTTGGCAAGTGTTTTGGGTGCATGATATGACTATTGAAAACAGAAGTACAATCTAGAAGAGCAGGGACCAGGAGGGAGGGAGGCCTGGTGCTGTGGGTCCAGCAAGGGCGAGGACCCTGGGGCCAGAGGTCTTGCAGCATGCTGGAAAGGAAGAGGACTGCTTTTCTCTATCCCCGCTGTGGGCCTGGGGAGCTGAGCCCGGAGAGACGCAGAGCTACCTCATCGACGGGTGCGAAGAACCCCCAGCCACGGGGTGTGGGACGCACATGTCCCTGGTGCAGGCTGAGCCTGTTACTGCCCCAAACACACTCAGTCTGTCCTGCGGCCTGAGAGGCTGGCGGACCACCCAGCTTGGCGCCCGGCCCGCTCACACCTCCTCTCCCCCACAGAGCCCTCCGCCGCGTGCTTCTGGTCCGAGAGCTGCTTCACCCTGGTGCCCCACACCCTGGTGCACCCCCACAGGCCCAGCCAGCCCCGGCCAGTGATCTTCGTGCCCAGGGTGGTAGGGAAGATCCTGAGCGAGAAGCTGTGCCTCCTCCAAGGGTTCAAGAAATGCCCAGCAGGTACGCCGTCACCTGGGAGCCCCACCTGCCTGCCGCGTGGCAGGGCAAGGCCTTGGCAGAATGCTTGCCTTCGCTCGGGAGAGCAGTGTGGAGGTCACTGTGTGAGTGTCCCGGGCCGCTTGGAACAGCAGAGGTCCATTCCCCTGTGGTGATGGAGTCCAGAAGGCTGAGATCCAGGCGTCTCTGTGCTGCCCCCCACCCCGCCCCGCCCAGAGGCTCTCAGGGGGAGTCACTCCTTTCCTCTTCTGGCTTCCAGTGGTGCTGATGGTCCTGGGGGTCCTTGGCTTGTGGTTGCATCACTTCTGTCTCTGCCTCCTTGTCACCTGGCCTCCTCCCGTCTCTGTGTCTTCACACGGTCTTCTTATAAGGAACCAGTCATGGATTCAGGGTCCATCTTACTCCAGTGCGACCTCATCTTCACTAACCACATCTGCCAAGACCCTATTTCCAAATACGGTCACATTCCCAGGTTCCAGACGGTCACGCATCCTGGGGGGGTGCTATTCAATCCGGTGCAGTTACTGGTGGCAGATAGGTTTTACTCAAGTGGGGCAGGACCCCCAAATGGCTCTGCCCACCTGCTCACCCCCAGAGCTGCTTGGTGGAGAGTCACGGAGAGGAACGGGCCATCTGGAATCCTGGATCCCAGGGGACAGGGTCTGAGTGTCTGCACAGCAGGAGAGGTGGTTCCAAGGTTGGCGAGCTGGAGAGCAGCTTTGTGGGTTTTCATTCATCAGCTCGTCACTGGCCGATGGCTACGGGAAGCCTTGGGTTGCCACTGGCGGGGGAATAGGGCTCTGTCCGGACCCCCTGGGGTTCACAGAGGGCACAGGGGTGAGCGAGTCTGGCTCCTCTAGCTGGCACCTCCCGTATGCCAGGTTCCCTGAGGGGAGTTGGAGAGGGGAAGCCTCCTGCAGACAGACAGGCTGCCGGGCGTGGGCTCCACAAGTGGCCCAGAGAGGGAGACAAGGGCTTTGGAGAAGACGGGGGCGCAGCTGGGCTCTGACGGGCAGGCAGGAGCTGGTGGGGCCGCAGGCCGGGCGGAGGTGCTCTGCGTGTGGCCCCGGGGGCCAGAGGTGCAGGTGTAGGACGCCGGGGAGGAAAGGCCGCGGAGAGCAGCTGTCCGTGAGCTGGAGTCCCCGTGACGGGGGCGGGGGCAGGGGGAGGTCTGACCGAGGAGGACGCGTGCTCAGACAGAGGCGATTCAGGAAGAAAAGCAAAAGCGGGGTGTGTTTTGACAGGTTTATTCAGGGCAAGGGTTCTCAACCTTGGCCCTGACAGTCGGATGGGGCTGCCTCCCCCTGTGTGGGGGCGTCCTGGGTCCTGCAGGACGTCGAGCAGCACCCCGGCCTCCACCCAGTAGACACAGTAGCATGCCCCCCCAGTGGTGACAGCCACAAATGTCTCCAGACGTTGCCAAGTGTCCCCTGGGGGTACAGCTGTGCCCAGCTGGGAAGCGCTGACGTGTGGGCTCTAAGGCACTTCTGGGTGTGAGAAGCTGGATGTGTGCACTTGCACTTTTGGAGCTTAGGTGGGGGTGATGGGGAGGGGCTCGTTTATCTGCATCGCTGAGTGTGCAGGGCACAGACTCCTCTTGAGTGCTAAGAGCAGGGTCAGGTTTATAGAGAGGACATCCTGGGAGGCGCGTCCCCCAGAGCTGGTGGGGGACCATGGGGGGGCACGTGCAGCATGGAGCTCCCTCAGGACCTCACAGAGTGTGATGTCCCCATCCACTGTCACCTTCAGAGTACTTGAGCCAGAAGGAATATGATGCCTCCAGCCAGAGAGGGGACATCATCCAGGACGGGGAGGCATCTGGTGGCCGCAGTGGCTCGGCATGTCCGAGGAGCAGCTCCTGGAGGCGGGCAGGCAGGGGGAGTCCGAGCTGGACAAAGCGCCCTGTCTATACAGCAGTGTGGCCCCCGACGGCTGGGGTGACCCGAAAGCACTGCTTGGCTGTGTGCGCTACGTCATCGGAGATGAGCAGAAGAAGGTCGTGTGAACTGAGCAGAGCCCCCGCTGACGGCCCCGCAGTCCCCTCCAGGGCCTGTGGGGACCTCTGAGTCCCTGTGATTTGAGCTCAGAGCCTCGCGGGCACAGCCTTGGGGGTGCTCACCACACAAGCCCAGCTCTCCGAGCATCTGCTCCCCTCTCACTGGGGTCCAACCTCGAACCCCACTCTGTGCAGGTCACAGGTGGGCATTCAAACCATCCGCCCACCTTCCTGTGCAAGCCATCTCCCCCTCCTCCAAGGCTTGGCTGCCAGGGTCTGAACCAGAGGCCTCGAGAACACGTCTGGGGTTTGGCATCTCCTGCACCCTCCCACAGCGGGAGGCCCCAGATGTCTCCAGAAAACCACCTGTCTGACCCAATTCTCCCCTTTTGCATTTCAATGTGCCAAAGGGCTTGTTCCAAAGCCACCGAGGCAGCAGGCTGGTAGCCCTGGTGCCCCCCAAAGTCACTGCCATCCCCGCCCAGAGCAGAGGAACAGACCCCCTTGTAAGGTAAGCCTGGCTTTCTCAGCTTCTGATGGCTGATACCTGCTTCAGTGACTCAAGTTTGGAAAGTCGTGTGTACAAACTGGGAAATATGGTTTCCCAGCAAAGGAAACAGTATTTTCGTGGGTTTCTGCCTGGTGGCCACCATACCTGGTTCAGGGACCCACGGGGGTGTCCTGGAGAAGCCTCCCACAGACACCCTTGCACACTGGCCGGGCTCCTCCTGAGCCCGAGATCTGCCCCCTTTACCGGGCAGCCCACTGAGCCCCTTCTCCAGGGCAAAGCACCTTTCCTCCACCTCCAGGGCTCAGGAGACACATGGGCATGGTTGGGCCGAGCCCCCGGGCCCCCTAGCACCTGGCTTTGCCCCCTACTGTGGGGGACTGAATATCATTTTGGCAGCAGTGCCCCTGAACCCAAGTGCCTCAGGAAGTTGCTCTAGAACTCAGGCCGGCGTGCTCATAAACAAGCCAGAAAATGACCTTCTGCATGTTTTACTAAAATAAAAGGCTTTTACAGTGTCCTGGACTGTGGCTCTTCCTCCACGCCCCCAGGATGGCGTTGGTGGGGGAGAGCAGGGGAGAGCGGGAGCCCACCACTCAAGGGAAAAAACCCCCGCGTTCTGGGCTTTCCAGGGAGACCTTCCGCTTTCCCGGCAGGTGGGCACCGGGCAGGTGTGGAGCATCTGCGAGCAACATCCATGCGACAGCCCTGGAGTCCAACCGGACAGAACTAACCCAAGCCAGAGGACGGGCTCTTCCCCCTCGGACATTCAAAAAGGACGAGCTTGCCTCTATAGACCACAGGATGAAGCTCGGCACGTGGGGAGCCTGCCATGAATCAGCGGCCTAGTGGAAACCCAGCCAGGGTCAGGAACTTGACCGTGAGGCAGAGCAAAACAAGCCCCAGGCGTGTTCACAGATTTTTTCAAGACCAGAGGTGGATAAAAGGCAGACACCGTGTCCCTACATAGAGTGTAGTCTGAACCCTCCCGCCACCCATGTGGTACCTGGAAGTGGGAACATCTGGGGCCTCCAAAGAATGAAGAGGATCTCAAGCCCCAGGTCCCAGCCCCTTCTCTCTGCAGGACCCCAACCTGACCCAGGACACGAGACCTCCTTGCCCAGACCATCCTCACCTGTCACGGACTGGGGGACCCACCCTGTTCCAGGATCCCCTGGAATGTCTATGCTTATAGGGCTCAGACACAAGGACAGCAGTGTCCCCTACCACAGAGGGGTGAAGGACTGGGACACACGCCCTGCTCTCCCCTCCAGGCGGTGGCAGAATGACAGCAGCATCGGGGAGAGCCCTCATCAGATGGGCCGCGTGGGGACCCAGTCTGGGGAGGCCATGCACGTGCCCCAGGGACGCTCACAGCTCATTGTGGAGTGGCCGGCACTGGGGGGAGAGCCTCTCCTCCAGGACGCCATCGGGAGCACACACCCAGGGGTCATGGGTCTCCCACTGCCACTTGGCCAGCTCGGTCTGCAGCAGTTCAAGAACCTGCGCATAGTGGGGGTCGGCAGCCAGGTTCCGGGTCTCGTGGGGGTCCTGGCTCCTGTCATACAGCTCCCAACGCTCCCGGTAGTAGTAACGGTGGAGATCCTTATACCAGCCCGTGGGGCGGCCGGCCACAGTGCGGTTCAGGAGGTCCTGGAAGGTGGGCGACACGTAGAAGTCCTGGTCGATGGGAAAGGGCATCTTGAAATTGAGGTTGTGCACGAGGTGGAAGGCCTGGTGGTACACGGAGCGCATGGGGTAGGCCATGGTGACCTCGTGGTGACTCTGGCTGCCAAAGACGGTGCTCCAGAGGGGCTCTGCCTCCAGCACCGGCAGGAGGGACCGGCCCGTGAGCCAGACGGTCTTTGAGCCGAAGATGGCATAGCTCGGGTAAGGGATGGAGAACCAGTCCAAGATGGTGGGCGTGAGATCTGGAAAGTAGGTGGTGTCTCAGCAGGGCAGCCCTCCAGCCACCAAGCCACTCTGGAACGCTGGTGGGCCACCTCGCACACCGGGTCACCAACAGGGAGGCGCTGTCGTGGGCCCCCCACATGTCGAGGTTGTCTCGGCCCTCTAGCGTACGATGCCTTTAATGGTTTAACAAGAGGCCCCAACTTGGTGATATTCAGGATCCTACCAGAATCCTTCGGATCAGTAAGGAAGCCCCCACGGAGGGGGCGCAGCTATCCCTGCCTTATGCTGTGGCCGCAGTGCTCCCCGACTTGTCCTTTGGGGCCAAAGGGAACATGTGGGCCCCAAGCTGCATGGGCCCTGCTGCCCTGAACCCTCAAAACAGGGGCTCCCCGGGGCCTGCAGCATGAGTATCACCTGGGAGCTTGTCACGAATGCTACTTCTCAGGCCGACGCTCTGGGGGTGGGGCCTGCCGGGTGGGCGTTAACAAGCGCTCCAGCCGAGGCCAGCGCCCACCAGCGGGCCAGTGGGGAGGGCAGCAGTCTCAAAGACCGCGAGACCCAGGCTCGAATCCTGGGACCTTGGGCAGCTTACCTCTCTGATCCTCACTGCTGCCTCTGTAGAAGGGTGTGGCCGTCCCTTCCTTGCCCAGGTGGTGTGGGCACCACGTAAGGCAGCGGGCGCAGAGCACTGCCTGGGCCTGGTGGTGCTGCTCGTTTCAGCTCCCCCGCCCCTGCCCGTGTGAGCCGCAGGGCCGTACCTAAGAGGCTCACGTAGGCCTCGCTGACCTGGCCCCAGCGTTTCGTGTGCTCTGGGGACGACACCAACAAGGGTTCGGCCGTGCCCGGCCAATACAGGTTGGTCCTGCCGCTGGGGAAGGGGATCCCGTTGTCGGATGTGAAGATCACCAGGGTGTCATTCAGGGCACCTGCTCCGCGCAGCTCCTGGAGCACGAGTCCGACCCCTGGGGGTGCAGAGGGGACAACAGAGCTCAGCCACGGCCGCGGGTGCAAGGGCGGGAACGCGCGTGCGCTCACACATTTCTTCATTGGGCTGCTGGACCCCGCACCCTTGCCGTCCCTCCCTCCCTCCCACCCAGCACCCTGTCCAGCAGTAGGCCAGGGATGTCGGCCATCCCTCAGCACGTCCACGTCGCCCCGTGCAGCTGCTACCTGCAGACGCTGGTTTTTGTTTTGTTTTCCAGAATCGCATGCCTGTCCCACGGGGATAACTGGGCAGTATGGGCGGTGGCTGGAAGACAGGACTCCCTCTACGCCTGTCCCCTCCCCAGGTCACCACCTGCTAATAGCGGTTCTCCCGTTTGGAGAAGGGCTCTTTGCGAATGCAATCGTCAAGGACCTCAAGGAGATTGTCCCGAAGTGCCCAGGTGGACCCTAAATCCCATGACAAGTGTCCTTATAGAAGAGACACTGAGAAGACACCCCACAGGCTGTGTGAGGACAGGGGCAGAGAGGTGAGGGATGCAGCCAGGAGCCAAGGAACGCCTGGGGCCACCAGACGCTGGAAGAGGCAGGAAGACTGTCCTGTCCCCTAGGGCCTGCAGGGGGGACACGGCCCCGCCAACACTGTGACTTTGGAGCTCTGGTCTGGGATGGGGGCCCACGCTGGGGCATACCCCACGGTCCAGGCTCCTTGAACCCACCTTGGTCCATGCGGCTGATGGTGGTGTACTGAGCAGCCAGGTCTGCTCGGGCTGTGGGAGTGTCAGGGATGAAGTAAGGCACCTAGAGGGGCACGCGGGTACAAAGTCAGGGCTAGAACACACGGGCAGACAAGCCGGGGGGAAGGGGTGGCCAGTCCTTGAATTGGGGTAGGAGATGGAGGAGTCGGCCTTCCTTCCAGGGCCTGAGATCACCCTCCACCAGTGAATGGTTGAGCCCAGAACGTCCCTGCTTCTGGACACGTCACTCCACATCTTGACGCCTCTCTTTGCCGGCCCCGTGGATAGGAACCCAGATCCATTGAGTCACAGAGTCTCCTCTTAAACATGGAGAAGTCACACACCCGGGGCCAGGGCAGCCAAGTCCTCCGATTTACGAGGTGGTGGAGGAAGGGTAAGCGAGCATCTTGGAAACATGGCGAGGGGCTCCTACCAGCACGTCCTGTGGGTCATAGGTCTGCGGGGTCCAGTCTGGGATCCGCCCCATGCCGCTCTCCCCATTGCCAAACTTCTCACAGAAGGTCCCGTACTGGGGCTGGGAGTGCCCACAGCGGTGGGGGTCATGGAAGGCAACGTAGAGGAAGAAGGGCCTGCCCAGGGAGGGAGGGGCTTAAGTCCTGAGGTTAGCCGGTGGACACGCCACCTGGCTTTCTACTCTGGGGAGCCCCGTTCTTTAGGAGGGAACACCCCTCAGCGTCGCTCACTCCTCTAGAACCAAAGTCTCCCTGGGATCCTCCGTCTCAGGTTCCCCGTGTCTCCTCTCCTTTTAACTTGAGTTTCTGGAACCTCCCCCCGCCGCACCTGGGGCCTCCAAGAATCCCCACTAAAGACTCTGGGATGTGCATCACAGGTTAACTGCCCAGAGGTCTGGCCGTGTGAGGGAGGGGACAGGGGCCTCCTCACACCTGTCATCCCGAGTCTGCAGGAAC